CACTAAATGATATAAATCCTTTTATAAATCATCAGCATCCTCTTCACAGCTATCAACACCCAAGACCTTAATATCATCTGCAAATTTAAGTAATTTATTGACCATCCCTTCATCTATGTCATTGATGTAAATCAAAAATAGGAAAGGTCCTAACACTGAACCCTGAAATACTCCACTTCTGACATTAATCAAATTTGACTGACCTCCATTTAAAAACCTTTATAATTAGATTCTTTAGGACTTAATAGATGACTCATTAAGCTGAAGAAAAACAAAAGTGATTTTCAAAGCTAAAATACTACAAGTATCCCTCGATTTACAAACATTCGGTTAATATTTTTTTGCTATAAATTAATTAACTCTTATGGGCATGTTTGTTTTATTTACTTTTGAATTTTTCACCAGAACAAAAATTTACATAAAAGTTGTAAGAAAATTTTACCCATTACGAAATTGAAACAGCTAAAAAGCTATTTTTCTCTGTTATAATATTGAAATACTTTTAGTTATTAAGTTATTTTTCACTACAATATAATTCAAATTTTGTAGAGTGCTATGGATGAAATTTCAAACAGCATGCCACTCCTCCATTGAGCCAAGTCACAGAACCCTATACTGTAAGATCTCTCCACACAAGCATCTCATGCAGTATCTGAGCATCAATCAGAATTTATTCCCCATCTTGTGGCTAATACTGTGAAGTGGCCCATGTTTTTTTTTATCAGCTGTAATCTACCTCAATCCTCAAGATGTCTGGTAAGAGACCTTCCTCAAGCACAACTGCTGCCCCAGCAAAATTATCACCAGGCAATAATGCTGAATACCAAAAAAGTCATAATAAAACAGAGTGAAATTTTTGGTCATGAATGCATCCCCTATTTTTTAGCTTTAAAATTATGGGAAAAACATTTTAGATTTACGTTTTTCATTATACATTACATTCTCTAAGAATGTATAACTTTAATAAATTGAGGGATACCTATATTAATAAAATATATTAACTTTCAAAATTAAAGCAATATCCTACATAATGCTTGCCCTAAAAAGCAAGCAAACTTCAGTCATTATTTTATTAATTTGGGAAAATTACTGTTATTTGTGAAATTGATCACAATATTTCTGACACAGTTACTCCAAAAATAATAAGATTTCTTAAATAATAAATGTATATATAATCTAATCATATACACAATATGTATGTGGATGCTTGTTACACACATTACTTGTGTAACTGTTGCCAACACCTATCTCCAATCAGAACAAAGCTTTTAGATCAACCACTAGTTCTTTTAAACTTAACAAATATTGCTATCAATGGAATTCTATTATTTACCAGTCACTGTAAGAAGTCTTAACATGTAATACAGAGAAATTACAAAAAAACAAAAACAAGTTGAATACACCAAAACAATGTAACTTAAAAAAATTATATGCTTTGCAAATAATACAATCTATCAGACTTTCTCTTTCTTAATATTATTTAGGGTTCTTTCTTTTAGGCTTTTTCAATTTTCATTGATTATTTCCCACTTTACCAAGATGAACTCAGATTTGTAATTATCTAATCTTGGATTACTTAATGTAGCACCCCTAAATCAGCTAAAAGGTTTGTGATTATTTAATCTTGAGTACTTAATGTAGCACCCCTAAGTCAACTAAAAGGTTTGTGATTATTTAATCTTGGATTACTTAATGTAGCACCCCCTAAGCCAACTAAAAGGTTCTGTTTGTTTAAACAAACTGAGATTTGTAACATGCTTAACTGCTTATTATACATAGAAAAGTTAATTACCTTTGACAAAGTTTTAATATTTTCAACTTATTATAAGAGTAACAAATACTAATACAAATTTAGTTTCTCAGCAACATTAGTAACTGATTGTTCCTTCAGATTTTCATTTGTAAAATTTAATTCCAAAAAATTTGCAGAAATTCTGAAAAAACAACAAAAACATACAACTGATAACAGAGAACCCTAATTTTATTTCGGCTAAAAATACTGGCACCTGAATATTAAGTTTCATCTACCTGTATTCAAATAATGTAAACAAGTAACTTACAAAAGTGTTTCAAAATCACTTTGCCAGTCCATGGGATTTCAAGAAAACAAATGAAAACTGACAGGATATTCATATGTAAGTTGGAATGGTCTTTAGTTGTACTTGTTCTGCAACAGTTTAGGGAGCCATTGAACTGATTCATGAAATTGAAAAGACTGAGAAATGCAGATCTACAATGCACTATCTGTCAGTTTGTGTACACCAAAATATCTATATTAAAACAACGTACTCCACAATATCTGTCAGTTTGTTCCACACACCACAATATCTGCCAGTTTGTTTCACACATCACAATATCTGTCAATTCTGTCACTTTGCTCCATATACCACAACATCTGTCAGTACATTTCACACACCACAATATCTGCCAGTCTGTACCACATGCTACAGTATTTGTCACTTCATTCCACACACCACAATATCTGTTACTTTGTTATAGCTCCACAATATTTGTTAGTTCATTCCACACACCATAATATCACATAATATCTGTCCGTCCGTTCCACACATCACAATATCTTTCACCCCGTTCCACACACCATAATATCTGTCACTTTGTTCCACAATATCTGTCAATTGTTATGTACACCACAATATCTGTCAGTTTCTTTGTTAAATCTTTACAATATATGGCCGTTAGTTTATTACAATAGAAATTAAAATTTGCTGTTCTTACTTTATCATCATGTGCATTTATTTTAAGTTGAAAAGTTAAATTTTTTTATGTTAAATTTTTTTCCAATATTGGTAAGTTTAACGTGAGGTCTAACTAAAGTTCAACTTTTTGCCAAGTATAAAACCTATTAATATATCAAAGACAAATGTGAATTAAGTAACAGCAGAAACTAAGATTCTTTAGTACTCAAAGACTGAATGTAAGCAGCATTGTCAGAAAATCTTTATTTCACAAAAACTTTGACAGAATTCACCTCACTATAATACACTCTCTTATACAGACAGTTCTATATAATTATTCTCTTGACAATAACTGCTTGCTTAAAGACTTATCTTCACCCAATCACACCTATAAACATACATAGTAGCAAGAAATTTATAAAATCTTATAAGATGACATACAAGTCTAAAATAGTGTAATTATGTGTATAAATACACAGCTTTTCATCCTTAACAAGCAAATATATGTCACATGTCAAACTGTAAAACATTTTATCATTGAAACAACTAACTTTGTCAATAAACAAAGCATCTTTTTTCAGCTTCTCAGCTCTTAAGGCTGATATGTAAAGTTTTGTACTATTTACACTTGTGTCATAGTTTATCTTTCTAACAGTTCACACAAAAAATACAAACCTTTTAGTAACCATGTTACAGTGGCTGCTAGTGGGGTAGCAGTTTCATCACCCACTCCAACTCCTTTTAATACAGCTTGGGTAGCCAATGTACCTGTGATACTGCTAGCAAAGGCCTGTCAAAATGTTGTGTAAATCAAGTGATTAACATCAAGAAGTGCCTTCTCCAAAAAGAAAACAGTCAAACATTAAATATGTGCACAGCCTATTTCACAGATATTATGCAGTTTACATTGCTGTAGTACATCCACAAAGAAAGTTTTTTCCACGTTTTTGTAACAGATTCAGATGAAAGGTTATAGCTTTTACCAAAAATCTTTTCTCTTTAAATTTCATGTTACACTTATAAATATTTTCCATATTTTAGCCCATGGAAGTCCGTGAATTAATGAATTTGGAAGTAAGAGTTTAGAATTTTATTTTGATGGGTAGACTGATAAGGTTAGAAGTAAGATCTCGAAATTTTGTTGTGGTGATGAGTAGATTGATAAAGTTAGAAGTACAAACAATACTATAGTGATGAGTGAACTGATAAAATTGGATATAAGAACAATACCATAGTGATCAGTGAATTAATCAGGTTGGATATAAGAACAATACTATAGTGATCAGTGGATTAATCAGGTGGAATATAAGAACAATACTATAGTGATCAGTGGATTAATCAGGTGGAATATAAGAACAATACTATAGTGATCAGTGGATTAATCAGGTGGAATATAAGAACAATACTATAGTGGTCAGTGGATTAATCAAGTTGGATATAAGAATAATACCATAATGAACAGTGGATTAATCAGGTGGAATATAAGAACAATACCACCGTGATCAGTGGATTAATCAGATTGGATATAAGAACAATACTATAGTGATCAGTGGATTAATCAGATTGGATATAAGAACAATACCATAGTGATCAGTGGATTAATCATGTTGGATATAAGAACAATACCACCGTGATCAGTGGATTAATCAGATTGGATATAAGAACAATACTATAGTGATCAGTGGATTAATCAGATTGGATATAAGAACAATACCATAGTGATCAGTGGATTAATCATGTTGGATATAAGAACAATACCATAGTGATCAGTGGATTAATCAGATTGGATATAAGAACAAAACCATACTTATCAGTGGATTAATCAGATTGGATATAAGAACAATACCATAATGAACAGTAGATTAATCAGGTTGGATATAAGAACAATACTATAGTGATCAGTGGATTAATCAGATTGGATATAAAAACAATACTATAGTGAACAGTGGATTAATCAGGTTGGATATAAGAACAATATTATAGTGATCAGTGGATTAATCAGGTTGGATATAAGAACAATACCATAATGAACAGTGGATTAATCAGATTGGGTACAAGAACAATACCATAGTGATCAGTGGATTAATCAGGTTGGAAGTACAAACTCAGAATACTGTAGTGATGAGTGGACTGATAAGGTGGAAAGGCAGAAGTTTACTGCAGTCATAAGAGTAAATCAGTTAGAGATTCTATTTATAAGAATTTGTGAAAAATGTTAGTACAGCTCTGTTGACTCTGGTGAGGCTTTGATTGGAACATAACTGCTGGAGGGTTTTGGTTACCTTACCACATGAACAATACTAACATGATTGTAAAAGTTGCCAAGTTGGGCTACTAGAATGATCTCTGGTTTGAAAAATTCCAGTTCCAATGAAAGACTTTTAAGTTTTGGATTTATATTATTCAGAGAGTATAAAACTGTTAGAAATAATGGAATGAAGTGGCTGGAAATGTAACTTAAATTTAAGAAACAAAAGATTTAAGCTTTGGAGCCCCTGATGCAAACTTGTTCTTTGGCAAAATAATTTTATAGTTAGTTATCAATTTACACAATGCTCTTTATGATGGTGATGCTTAAACCATTAGTTGAAAAATATTTTAAAGTTTGGTAAAATAGGGATACAAATATAAACCAGTACATTTATTTTGTTTTCATTGCTTTGGTGGGTGGGAAGGTGACCTTGATGGATTGAATAGACTTTTGTCACCTTGTACTTTGTTATTTGTACTAGTTGAAAGCCACAGAAATGCAAATCTATGCTTATGTTACATGAAACTTCCTTTTTTTTACTTTTATAAACTTCTAAATTGATATGTTTGATGATGCAATGAAGAATCCAATTTAAATTCATTCAAACATTTAGTGGAAAGTTTTACAATTAAAATGAGTTATAGTTACGTTAGGTTAGGGTCTTTGAGATTGTTCAGCTCATAATAAGATGTTATTAATGGGCTGAAGGGATTTCAGTTTTTTGTTTCTTGGTTTCATTTTAAAATTATGGTTTATCACCCAAATAAAAATTCAGAGTTTTATTCTATTTTGAAATGAATCCTAGATTGAAAATAAAAAATCTTCTGTCATAATTTTGTGGATTTTATTCTTTAAACACCCTAAATTTATTACTTAAGCATAGCTTACAGATGTAATAATAACCTGATTTCTGAAAAAACAGTTTATTTCAGTGACTCAATATCCTGAATATACACATACTACACTATACAAGTTAAGCCTTACCTGGATGCTATCCCACAGTTGATACTGCAAGTAATCCTGGCTAACACTATTAGGATACCCTTGAGGTAAAAAAACAGACTGAAAAGAATCATACAGGATCTTATTACATGTTCTATTGGGGTTACATACACACATAGAATCCTGAATGAACAAAACCTTAGTTAAACCATATACTCAGTTCAATTGTGTTTCACAAATGAATAATTTTTCTCAATTAAGCAATGACAATTAAAGTTTATTCATTTTTTAATACTAACTTTGTTATTACTTTATTGAAATACTGAATACATGAACATGCTATTTTAAGAGTATTGAGGTTTATAGTACAGAAAATCAAGACACTAAGCCTACAGCAGAAGATACTATTACATTTACATTCTTCTTTCTTTGTAAAGTGTAACTGCACTTGTATCATTCTGTCTCTTGAAAAAAATGTTTTGGAAACAAATCCTGTACTAAAATTATATGACTACCAATGAAAATATTCATACACATTTGATGTTCTATAGCAACTTCAACTAAATGGTGTAAAATTACTTACACAAAAAAAGTGCTTTAAAGAAGACCACTGAACATCATTTGGCTCAATGACAATAAGACTTCTTGCACTGTTCATCAGAAACTTTCGACGTAGAAAACTTGTTCCGTATGTTTCCTCTGCAAATACTTCTTCCATTGTCAAGTGAAACAACTGGAGCTTCAACAGTAACAAGTTTATATTTGTAAACAAATCTGTTGAAAAGAATGTAATAATTTTTACTACAAGTATCTTACAAACATTACTTGCTGCATTATTTTTTCATTCACGTGGGCAACCAGTAACGTAAAATCAGACTAAGTATCTCTTGCATTTAGTTACAACACTGGTCACCAATGTCGACATTAGGCATCAAAGATGAATCACACAGACCTAAAAAGTAAGAATATTTGACAGCTCTTTCCCACTGAAATAATGCTACTACTGGTCTAACAATACACAACATACAGAACAAGACTTACTGTTTCAAAGTTAACACTTTCCTACACTGAAAATGTATTTCTGATAGATACTCACCTCCTTCCCTCAAATAGCTTTTCTTAACTTATACTGCCCTCTATAAGCACAGATTTTTGTTCGCCACTAGCTTTGATACTCCCACCTATCCTCACGTGAGACATCTGCATGCTATCATGCAAATGATCATGCAGAATTCCTGTAAAGAATAGAAAACAAAAGAAGCACTTACTCACTCATAGAGAAATTGTGGAGTACAAAATGGTGAAAGGAAGATAAAAACCCATAAAACATGAAATGACCAGGTGGTAAAGATAATGGTCAGTGAAGGTATGGGGAATGGTTCACATACTGGCATGAATGACGTCCTCCAAAGGATGATGAAAATGAGTGGCCTGGGACATGGTAAGGTGATGGATTTGTTGTGAAGAGACACAGAAAAGATGACAGCAATCCAACAAAAGGGAAGAATAAGTGGACAAATCCAACTTGTAAAGGGAATAGGAGAAAGGTCACAGGATTGGGAGGGGGGGTTCCAAGTAATAAACAAACAGGAACCATGGAACGAAGCAATGCAACCACGTAAAACAGAGAGCCCTTGCTGAGCAGAGGAGGCAAGGAGGGTTGGAACAGTCATAAAGCTGTGATATGGAAAGAAGAAAGATGGGCGTGAAGAAAGAATTACCCTCCCAAATGGCTGAAGCTTTGAGCAGTACAAAATAATTAGTGAAAAAGACCACATAGAAACATCTGCTTGCCAACAGGAGGAGGAAAAGGGTCTGTAAGGAGAGGTGAGAGAAGGAACAGGTTGACAAAGGCTCAAACAGAGGAAGTGTAAGGGCATGGAGGAGAACATTGAGGTTCAAAATAGGGAGAGAGGGACGGGTGAGGTGTAGTGAAGAAAACAAAAGAGAAAGGACAGGCTAATAAAAGACACGGGCATATTATGTAAAATGAAAAGTAGCTGAAAAAAACACAACACAGAGAGGCCTGGATGATGGAAAGGTACTGTGGAAGCAGCTGAGTGGGAGGGTAGGCATACATGTAGAGGCTCGTCCAATCCTGACTGTGTGCATCTACAACTAAAGCCAATGGATGTGGAACAGGAGGCCAAAAAACCGAGGGAGCTGGGAATTGAGATAAAAGGCAAAGGAATTCACATATGGAAAACCCCACTAGGTACAAAGCCACTGAAACACCAGTGGGTCCAGTAATCATCTGTAAGGAAAATCTTGTTAGGATGAGATAAGCAATCCATGACCAGATACAGGGCACTCCAAATATGGCAAGCCATCAAATGAATAGGATGGCCATGGGCCCAATACAGGAGGTCCAGTGTCTGAAAACAGAGGCCTCTTAACCAAATGCCCACTTGCCTAAAGATGGACAAGACCACAGTCAAGTTCTCAGAATGCACCATTACTGACTGGCCCTGAATGGCCAGAAGGAAGTGAACCAAGAGATTGATATGGAGAGAGGACTCTGACATATTCCACTACCTGAGCAATCCAGGTAGGCATCCCAACAAGAAAGAGAGGCATCCAAAAAGAGGTGACGTTCTCATTTAATAACCCAGCCATCTCATAATCATCAGATACAAGCCTTCCTTTATCATCCTTCAAGGGTCTTACCCCCATCCAAATATTTTGTTTACCCTTAATGTATTTAAAGTAAATCCTATTTTTACAATTTCAGCCAACCTTTTCTCATGCATCCTTTTTGATGTCCTAATTTCCTGTTTCATAAATTTTCTTGACTTTCTGTAATGTTCTGTCATACCAGTCAACTTAAAGTTATTATGCTTTTCTTAACTTTTATCTCTTATACTCTTTGTGAGCCAACCTGGTTATTTACTTGCATCTACCCTTTTCTTTCTATAAGAAATATGTTTACCATGAATATTTAAAAATTTTCCACATCTGATCAGTGTCTCCAAATAACTCAGCAGCCCAATTCACAACAAATAATTCTTGTTGCATCCCTTCAAAATTTACTTTTTTTGAAATTTGCAGCCAAAATATCATTATTCCTTATCTCCATATGCAGCAAAACATTGAACCTAATAGAGCAATGATAACTTGCACCCAGATGTTCCATAACTTCCACCCTCTCATTCATTTCTATATTTGAAGTTAACAATAAATCCAAAATAGCATTATTTCTAGTAGGTTCCTTGACTAATTGGTGAAGAAAGCCATTTTGAACAGTTTCCAAAAACCTTTCTCCTTCATGGTTTAACTCTAACATTTCCAAATCTATATGCCTGAAATGAAAATCACCCATAATCAAGACTTCATTAACAGCTGAAATCTTAATCTCAATTTGTTACAGACCACCAAATGATACTGATGAAATTAGTGAGAAACTTTACAATTTCCACTGAAAGCCTTTTCCCTTTATATCCACTAATAGAAACCCAAATGGATTCAATCTCTTTGCTATTATCTTTGATATCTTCAACTTCAACAGGATGTAACTCACATTTTACATACAAAGCCACTCATCCTCCCCTCTTTAATACTCTATCCCTATTAAATAGCCTGTAACCCTGTATTTCAAAGAAATTTCTGTCATCAAAAGCATCTATGCTTAACCATGTTTCAGTTATTCCCATTATATCAAAATCCTCCATTCCTACCAAAGTCATCTATCTTATTTCTTATACTTCTAGCATTACAGTAATAACAATTAAGCCTATCCTTAGAACTACTTCTATAGTCATTCTCTATGCTAAACTTCTCTTTGCCTCTTATTCTTTTTGCATTCAGTTTTTCCTGGCCCTCACCACTGTGTGGTCTTAGTTTAAAACTTCCCTTACAGCTGAGTTAATAGCCTTAGCAAACAAGCCAGTCCCTACTCTATTCAAATGTAAACAATCCATTGCAAAAAGCTTCCTTCTCCCACAAGTCCAAACAGCCAATTTGCTCATCCTTACATACTAACCTAAGCCTAGCATTTAGCCCTAATGACCTACTTATAACTTCATCCCCACAGTTAATTCTGGACAGTATCCCTGACAAATTTAAGTTATGGCCATTTTCTTTAAGTGCCTTTATCAACCCCTTATATTTATTACTTAGTTCCTCTGACCTACCCTTCCCTACATCATTAACTCCTACATACACTACAAAAACTGCATCTCTGCTAGCTCCCTTTATTATATCTCTTGCTCTGTCAGTTATATCCTCCACCTGTGCCCCTGGTAGCATAATCTGATTCTTTTCTCCCTATTTACCCTACAGATTATTCTATCCACATGCCTTATCAAGGAATCACCTATGACTATAACCTCCTTGTCATCTACATCCTTCTCTGACTCTTTTGTTTTCCTTCCTTCCAATAGTTCCCCATCTGCAGAAGCCAAGGACTGAAATTTGTTGATCAACAGAATAGGCTCATTTTAACTAAATTCACCACTTTTAGGTCTAACAGTACTCTTTCTAACTTCCTTTATTAAATATAGCAATAAAAATCAAGAATTAAACTTTCAAACCACTAAATTACAAATTATATCACTCAAAAAACCAATAAACAATTAGTAAACACATGCCTGGTAAGGACTAGATACAAACATTAATAAACAATACAACATAAATCTCAATGTGACTTATTTCAATAAATATCAAACGAAGTAGGAAAAAGAACCAGAAGAATAATTCACCAGAGAATAACACAATGTTTCCAAATTAAACCACTTCTCAATATCAAGAATAATACTGAGAAATAATTCTTTCTAACTATATCTCATAAACTAACTTGTTTTCAAGATCAAGGAAGACTTTAATTCGTGGTTAGATCATGAAGTTACATCTCATGTGATTAGCTATTATCATAAATCTACATAGTCTTTCACAACATTAATATCTGTACATCACCACTAGGGGAAGCTGGTGTTAGTTTCATAATACATACATACTCAAAATCAACCTGCTCTAGATAGAAGGTGAGTTAGTGCTTTATATAACTAAAAGTCCATAGTTGAACTAAATGATAGAAGTAATAATAAATGAATGGTAAACAAAACCATAACAAAATAAAAGTAGAATTTGTTATGTTACAGTAGATTTATGAAAATATATTGTTTTCTGAAACTAAAAGCAAGTAAACAGAGAAGATCCGTGCATCATGTCCAAACAACCAAATGTATAAATACTTAAAGCTTTTATAAACTTTTGAGTCCTTCAATTCCAATAATAGGTATTTTTGAATTAGAAATTGTCAAATATTATGATAGAAATTTTTGTACTCATATATTTTGATATCTAGATTTGTAAGTAAGAGAGTTTTCAAAAGCTTTAAGTATTTGAATTAAGCTGTTATTGTAACAATTAATTAATTTCTATGTGAATAATATTCTGATATAACCCAGACCTCCATATATATACTATGTTACGTCTCAGTTTGTTAATTAACTTTCCGTAACTTTGTTCCGACGAAACTTTAGCGACACAAGTTATTTACTTAATAAAACTGGTTTATTCTTTCCGAATACAACTTTACCGATACACTCAACTTCAACAATCGCGCTAAAACAAACGCTATATCAACGAACGTCAATAATACTTCTGACTGCAGTTCAATTACTCACTATCTACACACACATTACCTTCATTACCGCGTCACGTTGTCCCCCTCTTTTATATACCCGACTACCCTATATCTAGTAAATACTAGAGCATTCGCCAAAGTACAGGATAGTTCTAGAAACGTGGCGTCACAGTAGTCATGTGACTCGCTGACGCAACAACTAGATTAAAAACTAGCAAATCTATAGAAACAAGTGAACATTCAGACAAGAATACTGCAACTTGTGTGAACAATATAAATAACTGCAACTTTATGGTATAACATAAATAACCTTGTAAAAAATATAAAACCATTTTTGTGATTCATGAAACTTAAGTAGCACATAGCAATTATGTGAACCAAGATAATATAGGTGTACCTTTTCAACTTTGATTACTCTCAATCGTACTTCCTCCTTCATCTCTTCAATTATATCTTGAGCTGGAACAACAGCCTTGTGTTCTTTACAATCAGGACAAACAGTCCTCTGAAAACCTCCAATATCAAACTCTTGAATATGATCCTAGAAAAATGCAAAATTAATCATTTTTGAGACTTCACAAAATAATTAAAATTAACAGAAAGCAGTGATAATTAAAATGTGTAAAATATCAATGATCAAGCATAAAGAGTATTTTAAATGTGGCACTGGGCATTGAGGTTTCAAGAACAAGTCTAGTGAGTTGTTATATATAACAAAATGTTTGACCAGGAAAAAACTTGTCCCAGCAAGAATTATATGTTACAATTAAGTGAAGTTGAAATGCTCTTATATAAAATAGCATGTTCAAGAAGGAATTATGATACAATAAAATTAAGTTGAAATGTTCTTATACACTTTTCTAAATGGATCTCTTACTGAACTATATATATTTGATGTGAAATCTACACTCTGTATCCTTAGTTAGAGTTACTTTAATTATCTGTATCCTTAGTTAGAGTTACTTTAATTATCTGTATCCTTAGTTAGATTTACTTTGATTATCTGTATCCTTAGTTAGAGTTACTTTAATTTTCTGTATCCTTAGTTCGATTTACTTTAATTATCTGTATCCTTAGTTAGAGTTACTTTAATTATCTGTATCCTTAGTTAGATTTACTTTGATTATCTGTATCCTTAGTTAGAGTTACTTTAATTATCTGTATCCTTAGTTCGATTTACTTTGATTATCTCTATCCTTAGTTAGAGTTACTTTAATTATCTGTATCCTTAGTTAGAGTTACTTTGATTATCTGTATCCTTAGTTAGATTTACTTTAATTATCTGTATCCCTAGTTAGATTTACTTTAATTATCTGTATCCCTAGTTAGAGTTACTTCAATTATCTGTATCCTTAGTTAGAGTTACTTTAATTATCTGTATCCTTAGATAGAGTTACTTTAATTATCTGTATCCTTAGATAGAGTTACTTTAATTATCTGTATCCTTAGGTAGATTTACTTTGATTATCTGTATCCTTAGTTAGATTAACTTTGATTATCTGTATCCTTAGTTAGAGTTACTTTAATTATCTGTATCCTAAGTTAGAGTTACTTTAATTATCTGTATCCTTAGTTAGATTTACTTTGATTATCTATATCCTTAGTTAAGAGTTTCTTTAATTATCTGTATCCTAAGTTAGAGTTACTTTAATTATCTGTATCCTTAGTTAGATTTACTTTGATTATCTGTATCCTTAGTTAGAGTTACTTTAATTATCTGTATCCTTAGTTAGAGTTACTTTGATTATCTGTATCCTTAATTAGATTTACTTTAATTATCTGTATCCCTAGTTAGAGTTACTTCAATTATCTATATCCTTAGTTAGAGTTACTTTAATTATCTGTATCCTTAGATAGAGTTACTTTAATTATCTGTATCCTTAGGTAGATTTACTTTGATTATCTGTATCCTTAGTTAGATTTACTTTGATTATCTGTATCCTTAGTTAGATTTACTTTGATTATCTGTATCCCTAGTTAGAGTTACTTCATTTATCTGTATCCTTAGTTAGATTTACTTTGATTATCTGTATCCTTAGTTAGAGTTACTTTAATTATCTGTATCCTTAGTTAGAGTTACGTTAATTATCTAATAAATATATTATTGAAAGCTTTGTCTTTAACTTGCAGGTTTTGAGACTGTAGTATTGAGAAAAATCAGATTGAGGTACGAAAGACTTTACAGTCCTCAAATAATGTTGATATTAAATGAAGATTTATCACATTTCAATAATAATATATTTTAAAAGAGTAGCTTTCTCTTACATTACATGTTACATCTTGCAAAAACATTGAAACTTCATGGCCCTTCATAAAATTAAAAATACATCAAACACCTCATATATGGCCACATGTACTGCATATTGGTTTTTGCATCTAATAAACGACTTACTTTTGTGATGTCCCTTCTACTGATATTATGATGTAAAAAAGTAATTCACTATAAAAATATTTTATATAAATATACAGTCTTATCCCTTGAAACAAAACTCAGACAGAATAAATTTATATTAACTTCTTGTTAAGGTTTAATTATTTGTTGTTAAGTACAATGCTACACAAATGGCTATCCGTGATGTTACCAATACGGATATCAAAACTCAACTTTTAGCATTATAAGACTTACCACTGAATCACTATAGGGTGTGATCAAAGCAAGCTACCTACACAGATCAGAACTAAACACATATTCCTAGTATTTAAGTAGTAATGAGCAAAGTTAATTAAATATAAAGTACAAAAAATCATATTCTTAAAATTACCAAATTTAATTGCATCATGGATACTGCCAATACTTATCTATGAGGATGAAAGTATATTATGTCAGTACTAAATGCTAGACTTAGATCAATATGTAAGGGATTATATTTGAATAACAACATCACATGAAAACTCATGTGGATGGTTTGGAAACCAGTTGTGAAAAACGTGTAAATCTTATGTATGAAGTTCTTCCTTTTTATTGCACCTTTAGCTGATCCAAGTTCAACTTTGGCTGTACATTATATATTGAATTGTCTCCTCTTCACTATTACTTCACCTAAACATTATCCATAATGCAGCCTTGTGTATTTGTCAAAAGACTACGAAATGCTATCCAATCACTGCCTTGCAAGTCATGCCTGAAAAACCTCCTCTTACTTCACACCAGGACTTTCTTTTTGGGATGTTTAATTCTTCTTTAATACAGAAGTCTTTAATGTGTCTGAACACTTTTTCTAATGACTGTAGTTACTTAAAGTTCTAAATGTTGGAGTCATGGACAAACTCTTAAATGGCTTTTGTGTGCACAACTTTTCATTCTGCTCTTTTGGATCCTGCTTGTTAAAGAAACCAGTTTTGATAAAAGAGTTCCCTTCATCATATTTTCTTAATGTGTCATGGACTTTTCATTAAGCCACTAATCAAAAAGTAGTCTATCTGTTATCAGTCACTATATTTATACAAATGTGTTTTATATATTCATACAGATGTCTCCTTTGACCCCACTACTGGAAGAACAGTCTGTACAGTCCATGTTCATTTTTTAAATATTTATAGATATTATTAGCTACTAGACTACTTTGGAAGCTGTGCAGTAAAACTCACAGCTATTCTTTTATCACTTCATTGGATCCTCATTAAAGGATTACCCCAATCCTCAGTAGCCTTTCTTATAGTCTCCCTTCATTTTCACACAAGCTCTATGGTTTTCGTATTCCCAAGCTTGTTCTTTGTTGATTTGGGAATATAATTCTTTACAGTTAACATGTTGATCGGACTGCTAGAGAGACATTAACACAAACCTTTGGTAACTGCTTCCGTTACATTTTAAAAGCTCGCCTTAATAATTGTTGGTCGCAGGGCTAATTATCTTCTGATACAGGTAGATTTACAAAAAGTATTTATCAAACTCGATACCTCGTCTCTTTTCCAGACGATTAGACAGTATTATTTCTCATTTGTATTTGAGTACGTGTGGGCTTAATGATACTTTACAGAAAGTTAGTGTAGTGCCTTCTCCGAAATGTAGAGGTTGTGGTTCCTCCCCAGTTAGTTTTTATCGTGTTTTTCACTCTATTCCTCAAAGTTTTATGTGATTCCCTTCGACATTTTGAAACTCCTTTCACTCTGCAAAATATACTAGGCCCTCAATATTCTGATACTACTTTGCATATTCTAATTTACTTTTTTCTTCAAACACTAAACTAAAATTTGGGGTTTCATACCTGCAGCGAGTACAGTGCACCTAGTCCATTGTGTAGCTTTGTGCTTAGAAACAGTGAAAAACAAAACAAAAAGCACCTATGATATACGAAAACAACTCGATTTGTCTAGTCAATTTAAATAAAAATTGTTCACAGGTCTTACCTCAGAATCTCCACTGTAAGGATTCTTTAAGTTTGTGTGCACCTCTACCCAGAGCCAATTAGCATCTGCCAAAAACTGGTCAGAGCGTTGAACACTTGTCGACTTTTTTATCAGGTCTTTCAAATAACGTACTGCATTTTCCATACCTGCTTTTCTCGAAGCTGAAATATTTGTCATGCCTGAAAATGTTTAGAATAACTCAATTTGAGGTATTATAATATAGGAGTAAAAACAAAACAAATGGAACAACAGATTGCTCCTAATTAGGGCTTGATCAATATATCATTTCATCGACAATGATGGCACATATTGGAGTTTTTTTGCATACATCCTCATTTGTAAAATATATTGCTGTTATTGTTTTTTCATCTAATTTAACTGAAACTGTGCCAGAACATGTCGCCATGGTGATAAATAAATTGAACTTTGGGCAGCCAAGATATATCCATTTCAGAATTACAAAGGCTTGAAAACAGTAACAACTAAATAAACATACAAAAGAGGTAAAAAATATAAATATAAAACAACCATAACAATATCGCCTCCCTCAAGCTAAAATCTAAATTACACTTGACAGTAGTTTCGTTTTGAGTTTACTTACTGATTAAGTATATCTGATTACAAATTATAACATTTACAGTGAGTAAAATGTGTTTTTAGAACAGGTACGACGTTTCGATCACTGGTGCGATCACTTTCAAATACACAAGTTTTAACGGCAAAGCTGTTCTAAAAACAAATCTTACTGTAAAAGCTGTAACTTGTAATAAAATATACTTGACGGTGTTCTAAGAAAGTTTTCTGTTTTTGTATATATATTATTATGCTTCTGCTTGTTTGTTAATTTCCGGTATAAATTCTTTCCGAGGAACTTCAGCGATACAAACCCTTTCTTAATTATAACTAGTTTATTTTTTCTTAATACAACTTTTTAGTACACAGAATTTCCACAGTCACTTTAAACT